GTGAGCTTGCCGATGCCTTCATGGACAAAAAACAAAACGATAATAGTACCGATATAGCTAAGCAGTTTTTTCACCGGGTAAGGAACCGGGAAATATTTCTGGCCGTAATAATAACACAGCAAAACCATCAGGGTATAACAGATCAGTGTGGCCCACGCGCAGGCATACATGCCATATACCGGTATGAACAGGTAGTTAAGCGTTAAAGTGACCGCCGCGCCCACCAGGGTAATGTAAATGCCATATTTCAATTGAGCGGTGATCTTATACCATACTGCCAGGTTGTAATAGATACCCAGGGAGATATTGGCAAACAATAAAATCGGTACTACGCCAAGTCCGCTGCGGTACTGCGAACCATTCAGGTACTTCCACACATCCAGGAACAGGGCAGTGAACAGAAAGGCCAGGCACAGGGTGATCACAAACCACTTCATCACCTTGGCATACGTCTTCGGTGCGTTTTTATCGGCCGCCTGACTGAAGAAAAAAGGCTCTGCCGCCATCTTAAAAGCCTGTATGAACAGCGTAATAAAAATAGCAACCTTATAGTTGGCATTGTAAATACCCACCGCCGCTTTAGCAGCGTCTTCCGTGCCTTTATACAGATGAAGCAACATGATCCGGTCGATCACCTCATTAACCATCCCGCCCAGCCCGATGATCACAAAGGGCAATGAATATTTAAGGATGGTGCGCCACAGCTTAAGGTCCAGCTTAAAGCGGAAACCCATCCACTCTTTGGCAAGCAGTAATAAGGTTACAGCACTTTGGGCAATAAAAGCCATGATCAGGAAACCGGTGGTTGTATATTGATGATACCAGCGGGCAAAGAACCCGTCGGAGCCAGCTGCATAACGTGGCGCAACACCCACCAGCAGTATTACCAGCAGTATATTCACCACCACGCCAGCCACCTTGACAAATGCATACTTGCGCGGACGGCCTTCCTGCCGCAACTTGGCAAAAGGGATCACCGACAAGGTATCCAGCGCAATAACCCATAGGGTCCAGGTAATATATTCCGGATGTTTTTCGAGGCCGGTCAGGCGCGCAATCGGCTCTTTTGCCAGGAACAATAGAATACTCAGGATAATCGTAGAAAGAATGATGGAGCTGAACGAAGTCCGGAACAAACGGCCCTTATCTGTCCCCGAATTGGAGAACCGGAAATAGGCCGTTTCCATACCATAGGTAAACAGCACATTCAGGAACGGGATATACGCCATAACCGTGCTGTATTCCCCGAATTGTATGGTGCCCGCCGGAGAGTTGAGCAGGTAAGTGATCAGCGGATTCAGCAAAAAACCGATCAGCCGGGCCATGATCGTGCTCAGCCCATACCAGATCGTTTGTCCTGCCAGATTTTTAAGTGACGACAATAGAAGTATTGTTTATGAAACGGTTTGAACCCAGACGGCCCCAACCCGTTTTAACGATCCTGGAGAATAGTCCAGGTTTCTTTACCTTGTAATAACTTGTCCAGGTCGCCGCGGCCCTTGGTCGCCAGCGCCTCTTCCAGTTGCAGTTGCATCTGATCTTCATAACAAAGCCGGTCGGCCACATAAAAAACGCCAAATGGCCGGGGCAGATGTCCTTCAGAAACCGGATTGTCAAAAAAGCGGGTCAGTATCTGGGCTTTGAAAAAATCAGTTTCATCATGTACCCAAAGGTCGTCTGCACTATAACCTTCATCGAGCCTTACCAGTTGTGGTTTATAACCATCCAGCCTGATGCCTTTATTTTTGTCTGCACCATAGATCAGCGGTTGCCCCTGTTCCAGGAATAAAGCTTCATCCGGTTTAGATGCCTTCTCTGTAAATATTTCAAAAGCGCCGTCATTAAAAATGTTGCAGTTCTGGTAGATCTCCAGGAAGGAAGAGCCGCGATGTCCCTGTGCACGCAGCAGCATAGCTTGCAGGTGTTTTACATCCCGGTCCATGGTCCTGGCGATAAAAGAAGCAT